ACAGTTCTAAGAAGCCCAACAGCAAGGGCAACATTTTCCGTCAGCGCAAGGACTTTTCCGCCTTTCAGGTTTGTTCACTGTTCTTGATGGTGTCTACTTCGGCAGTCGTCTGCCAATATAGTCATTTCGAGGAAGGCACGTTTGCGCCCAATTCAACTACAATGAGCACTTTAACTGCAACGGCTCTAATTTTTTATTAAGGTAATCCGAGCTACTCAAATGAAATAAGTAGGCAAAATATGATGGAAAATGACAAAGGGTTCTTATGCCTCACTCTTACTTGTATGCTAAAATAGTGTCTCCACTAAGCTTCTCTTGTTATATTTTAGCCACAGCGTGATCAAGCTAGATCCTGTTCAACTCAATTATACTGTTGGGAGCGTCCCTTGAAGTCTTGCTTTTCAAATTACAGACATTATCGGGACCTGAAAACCGATAAGGGTAGGAATAAATCGTAGGACTGAATGGTCATATGAGTTGTTTCAATGGTGTTGTTCGTCTGTAGGCTTATGTTGCTAACCATCAGGAGTGTTTGTATAGTTTTCTTGGTCTTTGGGCCTCCTTTTCTGACTAATAGGAGTTTCCTTTGGTCTTTTCTGTTTGTTTCGCATGCTTTTCACCTATATTTTAGTTCAATGAAACAATAACAAGCGGTTTCGCTTTGTGTTCCACTGTACACTTATCAAGCATTAAGCATGAATTAGCTACTCACTAGTCAGGCACTATACGTTTAACCATGAAATCCGTCAGGCATTTGGATTAGGAGACTTTTGCCATTGGGCAGCCCTACGATTTATTCCTATCCCGAGAAGTTAGATGAAAGTTGAATCCCGACCGTCACACCAGTGCGCCAAAATGCCATGGTTCGGAAACCTGCGCAGCTCGAACTCGCACTTGACCCAGTGTGTGTTTGTATGGGGTGGCCGCACTGTGAACGGCGAGTCAAACTGCAATGGCTACTTCTCAAGGTGACCTTTACGGCATCCCCACCCGGTGTGATCCAAGTCGCCCCCCCC